TGTTGCCAGTTATCACTACAGGGTCTCTTTGGCTTAGTAAGTGCTATGATCAGTTTTTTTTGTTGCCAGTTATCACTGCCAGCTAGGGTAGTATTAAGATTTTGTGTTGTTTATTTTTTCAACCACCTGATCCATAGCATTTGTTGTTTATTTTTTTAACCACCAGATTCATAGCATTATCTATTTTAACAGTAACAAAAACCATTGGGAATAGTTGTATAACAAAATTAAGTCATTTTGTTCTATGGAAGTTAAATATATCAGAATACTTCCGCTAGTGTGAGATTGTCCTCAGAGCTGTCGCCCCTTCACGTCCTGTATTCTCTGTACTCTAGGCAGGCGCCAGTATTCCTGCAGACATCTTGAAGTTTCACCAACCTAAGCGCAGTGCTGTGTTAAGGGTGCCAAGCAGGTAGGTACAGATGGCTGAATAAAAGAATTCTGGACATAGCCAAAATATAACAGCAAGTTCTGGGAATTAATGAACATAAGTTGATTGGTTTGGAAATAATGGTTATTTATCCAGGTAAAATCTCACACACGTTCTGCCATTTTCTTCCCCAAAGTATCCCATTGGAATATCTTTTTACGTTAAGACTGTTTTAGGACTCTTTAGAAACAAAGAAGATTGTGTTAGTTGAGATGGTATTGTGACCTGAATCAGCTTTCGGAGTCACCGACCAATTTTGCCCGCTGTAAATAACATCTGACTGCTCAACTTATAATTGATTGATTAGAGAGCTATTTGTTAACTGTTTGATGTGTTTAAAATCCTACTGAGGACATTGCCAATTGCCCATAGGATATTACTGTTATTGATATAGTTTTATTATTGATTTGATTCTCATTATAATCTCATGTTTCCATAACAACAGGGGAACATCCATGTTTCTTTGTCATGAACTTCCACAAAGTAAGACAGAATGATTAAAGGACATGCCTCTTTTTAGATGGGCAGCTAGGCTAAATATACAATTTTGAAAACCTTATTCTTCATTATGTTAATTGACATATCCTAGGCCTGGTATGCCTGCTCTGGTCAGATCACATTGGGAAGCTGCAGGATGCCCCAGGAGGGAGGAGTGTGTGGGGGGAAGTGTGTGTGTGGGAGGAAGTGTGTGTGTGTGTGTGGGAGTGTGTGTGTGTGTGTGGGGGGGGGAGTGTACATTTGTGTGGGAGTGTATGTGTGTGTGTGGGAGTGTGTGTGTGTGGGGGGGGAAGTGTGTGTGTGCGTGTGGGAGTGTGTGTGTGTGTGGGGGGAAGTGTACATTTGTGTGGGAGTGTGTGTGTGTGTGGGAGTGTGTGTGTGTAGAAGGAATGTACGTGTGTGTGGGTGGGTGTGTGTGGAGGAGGGGAGTGGGTGTGGGGAGTGTGTGGGTGGGTGTGTGTGGAGGAGGGGAGTGGGTGTGGGGAGTGTGTGGGTGGG